GACCAGACCAGACCAGACCAGACCAAACCACCGACAGACAGACAGACAAACAGACAGACAGACAGACAGACAGGCCTGCATGCATACGTACATACGTACATACACGCATACATACGTACTTACGTGTTTCCTTCCTTCCATCCTTGCTTCCATTCTTACTTACTTACTTACTTACTGACTTACTTACTTACTTAGTTACCTACTCACTTACTTACTTACTTACTTACTTGCTTACTTACTGACTTACTGACTTACTTACTGACTTACTTACTTATGTACATGTACATATAGATACATAGCTACGCATACACCTATCATGCTGTAAGTATTGCAGCAACTCACGATGATCATTCTTCGACTGGAGGGTATGGGAAAGGTAGGATAAGCAGCTTCTGCTAAGGAGCTTTTTGTCGAGTGCTTTTGTTGCAGAACTTTCAGTTGCATCGGTGGCCAAGCTGCAACCCCTTCAACCTGGCATCTGATCCGAGTCCGATTACCCTAAACCCTAAACCCGAAACCCTAAACCCTAAACCGTGTGAGGACAGGCAGCTGCAGCCCTTGCGGTACCCTCCGCCCTACTTCGCCAGTGGAAGAGGGCCGACGGTTGCAAGGCCCTGCCTCAAGGGAACTGGGGAGGAAGAGCCTAATATTCCCAGAGAGCCCCATACCCCTTTATTAAGGAATATACGGTATACTCAATCTACCATAGATTAAAGATGCCTTAATTTTACTTATGATTTAAGGCTTAAGGTATCTTCCTTAATTATCGGGTATTGGGCTCTCTGGTGTGCTCGTTTGGAGTCGTTGCACCCCTGTTCCTGGTTTTGGATTTCGCATTACAGTTGGCGACATGGCGCCCCGCGCAGCGCAATCGTGCATGTTCCCTAACCCTGCAGGTACCTACTATCTAGGGCCCTAGGGGCTCTATTACCCTATATAGTAGGCACCTGGGGCCCATTGGCAGGTTAGGGGTTGTCTTACTGAGCGAACATTCCTGGAAGGAGCCCCAAAGTCCTGACCCGATAGGCCCCAAAACCCCACAATCCCCCGAAGCACCACAAACTAAACCCCCACAACGGTCCATGAGGCCCTGAGAAACCGAAACCCTAAACCCCAAACCCCAAACCAAAAACAAGCTCCAAAGCCGAGTAGGAAGTGGCCCTTGCTCCGCGGCTTCACCGAGCAGCCGCACTGCTGCCTGCAACGAAGCACAGCAGCCCCCGAGCTTCAAGTGCGGGTTTGGGGAATTTGGGTTTAGGTCTTCAGGTTTGCGGTTTGGAGTATAGGGTTTAGGGTTTGGGTCTTTAGGGTTNNGGGGGGGGGGGGATAGGGCTTGGGGATTTTAGGAATTGAGGGTTGTCAGGGTTCAGGGCCTTTTGACTTTAGGGCTCAGGGCTGGGGATAATTCGTGTTCGTACAGCCCTTTTCACTTCTTCAAAATACTTCTGTCAATGGATTCTTGCGCCACCGACATGTAGTGACAGCAGTTAAGGTGTTGGGTCGCCGGTGCGTGCTCCAACTCCCGAAGCTACAAGAAGGGCCCATGGTGCAAATCAATCATGTATACAATGCGCGCGGGTTTAGGGTTTAGGGTTTAGGCACAGTAAATGTAGAACGGTAAAATGCACGGGTGTGGTGACGGAGACCTACAACATGTCTTGTCTCACGATATAAGAGTAACAGTAATGGTAATTACCATAAGGGTAACCAACTTCAACAACATTTTATAATAGTAAGAACAAGAACAAAATACGAATAAGCATAATCATAAGAAGAAGAATACCAATAGTCATACGAATAAGAAAAAGAAAAGCAGCACTTGCAGGTCGCAGCCTGAAACTGAGAGCTCTGCACACAACCTGTCCTGAAATCCCGCCCCGCCGCCCGTACCCACAAGCCGTGACGAACTACGTAACTTCTTCGCAAGCCCTGAACCCCAATAATCTCAGAAAGGAGCCCAAACTTAGAACCTTACAAAAGGAACCTGAAGACGGAAGTCCGAGAAGCTGAGGCTGCGCGGAGAGGTGTTGGAGCTCCGTGCCTTGCTACAGCGCAGCAAGGCGGCCCATGTCGAGGAGGCAGCGAGGAAACTCTGTTCTTCGGACGGGGCATGGGTGTAGAGTTACTATGAGTGGGCTGAAGATTTGGGCACTCAGACTTAGGTTAAGATTTGGGCTGTAGGGTGGGTATAGGCATAAACTTTTGGGTTGAATGGCCAAGGGATGTAGTGTTTTTGTTGAGTTGGGATCGCTTGTTGAGGGTTCCAGGTGAAGGTGCCGGGGCTTGATGTGGGAGCAATTGGGAGCAGATCAGCGGAAGTCCGCATCTTTGAAAACCGCTGGGAGAGCTGTTGAAATCAAGGTTCGTTGCCGCACACGCCATTCGGATAAAACTCTTGCAGAGCAGAGTTCCAGGTAGCTCACTTGAAGTTGTGCTCGTGTTTAGGGAGGAGGCTCGAAATTTCAATAGCCATCGAGGTAAGTGTCTCAGCTAAGCTGCTTAGGTTCAATGCTCTCGAACGTCTTCACGGCCACTTGAGTTGTAGACTCTATAGACAAACCTGCAGAGCAGGCAGCAAGGTTGGAATCATTGCTGTTTTGCGGCTATGTCTTTAGGGCTGTTTTTTCACGCATAGACTTTTTTGCAGCAGGCCTTGGAGCGGTGAATTGGGAATTGAAAGTTCAGAAGACGTGCAAAAGATACAACCGCAGGGACTCCGGCGGAAAACCGATGCCATCGGAGCTGACAGTATGTCAGGAAGTGTCGAGACAAAGTCATTCATTATGTGACCGACGTATGCCAGTATGCTTCTAAGCGTGTGTTGTACCCAACTTGCGCTCCAACTCCGTCGATGGTCTGGACTCGTTGTCAGGCCTCCCGCCTTCAGCTCCAGATGCAGGCTTGACAGCTGACAACACAAAGGTCCTAAACATAAAAGTGGTTTAACCAAAAAAGGAACTACAATGGAGACTATAGGTAGTAGAAGAAACAGGGCTTGGTGTTCTCCCAGACCCCCCAACTGCTCTAGAATATGCCCCCCCAACATACCCACTATTGAGGTCCATAAGGGCTCTATTCACGTGCAATCGGGGCGTCCTGATTTTTTTCTGGGTTAAAGGGTTGAGTTTAGGGCTTCGTGAGTTTTTGGGCTTGCTATCCACCTACTATATAGGGTACTAGAGCCCCTAGGGCCCTATATAGTAGCTAAACCCTAAACCCTAAACCCTAAACCCTACCTTATAGGGTACTAGAGCCCCTAGGGCCCTATATAGTAGGTACCTGGAGGGATTAGGGTATTGCGAAGGATTTCATGCTTGGGGTTTTTCAGAAGAGTTTGAAGCTTGGGCTCGAGTTTACCCTAACCCCCCAATGGG